TTAATATTGAAACCTCAACAGCCCGGCTTCGATTGAGTCATATGCCCCAATTGCCCCATCAACCTCTGTTATTTGGCATTCCAGTTCATGAACCAGCTGGGGCAAGGACAGATTCATCAATCTAGTCGGCTTGAGTGCCCCAGCCGCTCCACGAATCGATTCATCAGTACAATATTCATAAGTTCATTTCATTCGGTGTTCTACGTTCATGAACAGTTGGGGCAAAGGCAGATTCATCAATCTAGTCGGCTTGAGTGCCCCAGCTGCTCCACGAATCGATTCATCAGTACAATATTCATAAGTTCATTTCATTTGGTCTTCTATGTTCATGAACCAGCAGGGGCAAGGGCAGATTTATCAATCTAGTCGGCTTGAGTGCCCCAACCGCTCCACGAATCGATTTATCAGTACAATATTCATAAGTTCATTTTATTTGGCGTTCTAGTTCACGAACCTCCGTTATTCGGCGTCCTTATGAGCTGACCTATCAGCACCTCCAAGGCAATCTCATTAATATTGAAACCTCAACAGCCCGGCGCCGATTGAGTCATATGCCCCAATCGCCCCATCAACCTCTGTTATTTGGCGTTCCAGTTCATGAACCAACTGGGGCAAGGGCAGATTCATTAATCTAATCGGCTTGAGTGCCCCAGCCGCTCCACGAATCGATTCATCAGTACAATATTCATAAGGTCATTTCATTCGGCGTTTTATGTTCATGAACCAGCTGGGGCAAGGGAAGATTTATCAATCTAGTCGATTTGAGTGCCCCAGCCGCTCCACGAATCGATTTTCAGTACAATATTCATAAGTTCATTTTATTCGGCGTTCCTGTTTATGAACTAGCTGGGGCAAGGGCAAATTCATCAATCTAGTCGGCTTGAGAGCCCCAGCCGCTCCACGAATCGATTCATCAGTACAATATTCATAAGTTCATTTTATTCGGCGTTCTATGTTCATGAACTAGCTGGGGCAAGGGCAGATTCATCAATCTAGTCGGCTTGAGTGCCCCAGCCGCTCCACAAATCAATTTATCAGTACAATATTCATAAGTTCATTTTATTCGACGTTCTAGTTCATGAACCTCCGTTATTCAGCATTCTTATTCATGAACCGGCTAAGGGCAGATTCGTCAAGCTAATCAGCTTATGTCCCCTAACTGCCTTATGAGCTGACCTATCAGCACCTCATGAATTCATTTTATTCAATCATAAATCAAATTCATTAATTTAATCGGCTATTAAGTTTGTTGTCTCACGTAGTCGTGACATTTTGTTCTAACTGCTGATTCTTTTAATTATGTACTCATATAACAAACAATACAAGCAATAACTTGAGAGCATAGAAAATTCTCATTCATAAATTGGGGGCTAACAGCGGACATTTTACACATGAAAATCCAAAAAAGATGAAAATCAACTAACAAAGAACATACATTGAAATAGAAAATACCTAATAAAACTAAAATGTCTCCCAAATCAAGCCTCAAGATCAGACTCAAGCGGCTCAACGTCCACTTGCTCGTATGGAATTGGCATGGTCAATGTAACTCCAGCGGCAGCAAGGGCTTTGAGCCACCCGCGTTTGAATCCTCGATTCTCGAATTTGAGGACTTCTTCTACGTAGTTTTCAAGGGCGGCGCTCTTTCCAGCCTCGAACGCCGCAGAAGCCTCAGAGTCGACTTTTTCCTTGGCTTTCTTCAACTCTTCTAACTCGGCCTCCACCTTGGCAAGCGCCTCCTTGGCTAACTTGAGCGATTCCTCGCTCGCATTTACCCTTTCCTCGGCGTCAGATCTGAGCTGGTCAGCAGTCCGAGCCCTTTCCTTCTCAGTTTCGGCTCGAGCACTTTCCATTGTGGCTCTAACCGCCTCGAACTCGGCCCTACTCCCTTCAGCTTCAGTTTCCGACTTCAAGCGGCCAATTCTTTCAATGGCATCATGCTGGCGGCGGCCTAGTTCGGCTATCTTTCCAACCGTCTGTAAAACAAGGAGTTGGGATCGTCACATACCAAGAAATATCGTATGCAAACCAAACCAAACGAGGAGTAAAAAAGATCAAATCACATACCAGAAGGGCCGACTGGGCAGCTAATGCTATTGCTACCAAATCCGGTTCGGCACGAAAGGTTGCCTTATCAACCGGCAAGGAGACCGAGGCAGCCAAGCTCAGAGCCACAGTCGGATCTTTCAAAACCGACGCTTCAGAGGAGATCGGCATGTTTTTTATCTTTGGTTCGACAACGAAAGGAGCAACCACACCCGACTCCTTTAAGCGTGGCCGTTTGTTAGCGGGGCCCTCCTTGAAGCCGGCCTCGCTCTCGGCGATACGTTTTTCTCCCCGATTTTCTGAAATCGGCCATTCTTCTCTCATCGGCCTCTCGGCATCCTTCTCCGTCTCGACCGCACGAACTTGAGCCGTTTCTTCCACTATAATGGGTACGGAAGATTCAGTTGAGGCAGGTCCAGAACGGGTGGCCTCGGCTTTCCATCGGGCGGCCATGCTTTTGGCGTTTTTCTTTTGTGCCAACTGCGTGAGGCTTTCCCCAGCCATGCCCTCAGAATAAGCGTCGGGAAGGTCTCCCAAATTCATAAAAATATTTTCAAAGGAGACGTCCCCTCAGCCTGATGTGGACGGAGGGTCGGACGAGTTGACTCTGGCTTCCTCAAAGGCCGAATTAAGAGCTTCGTCAATCTCCGCCGCCAACTGGTTCGGGTCCTCGGCGATTGGTTCGGCCGCTTGTTCTTCTACTTGTTCCGAATTGGATGTTTCTAAACCAATCTATCTCAAGTTTTTGAAACTGGGGAAGATAAGGGCTGTAAGATGGTTGTCACCTTTTGGGATCAGAATATTGTCTGCCACCGAAAATGTCGTGTAAGTCGGCTCGTACCGAAGAAGAATGTGGGCCGCCCTCCCTTGTTTTTGAAGGTTTGGACGACCGACAAACCGCAGCGCGGTTTTGATTTCTGCAAGTATAGCGTCGTCGTCTGAGACCAACACTTTTTTCAAGTCGCTTCCTGCAGGGTCGAATTCAGATATGGAAATAACATAAACAAAAGTGATCTAATCGGCCACCTGGTTCGCCTTTTCGCCTTGGCACAGGGTCTAGGCGATCTTCACCTTCACCGAATTTCCAATTGCCGCGGACAACGACCATCACGTCATCGACTCGCTTGCCAAAGCTAGCAAGCATCGTCACTAAGTGATGATCAGTATCCTTGGTTCTAAGAAAGTAGCGTCCTAGCCGGCCAATAGATTTGGCTAGGACATAACAGTACCGAACGGCGGGTATACCTAAATTAATCCTAAGACGCCGATTTAGCTCTACAATTCCCATTATGATACGAAAGAAATTCACGTTGGGCTGGGAAGGGATTAGACCCCAATATCGTAGAATGGCCCTCAAAAATGGATGAAGGGAAAAGCGGACTCCGCCCTCAGCAATTGACAAGAGGGGAAAGACGATTGTGCTCTCGTTATCCCTCTCTATATCAGTGGTGCTGTCTGCCAAAAGTGACAGATGGACGTCATCGGGGATGGAAAAATGACGACGAAAGCCGAAGATTCAGTCCGCTGAAAGGAGCTCCTTCAGATGTTTTTCCATCTTGGCCAGCCCAAGGATTATGGAAAACTAAAAGCAAACAAGGAAGCGGGATCGAAAGTGAAGGAGAAGAAAACTTACAGGGGGCGAAGGGAAAGACGAGAAACAAGGAATTACAGAAGCTGCAAAGTGAAGGAGTTGCACTAGAAGGTGAACCAGATATCTTTGAGTATTCAGAACATACATTCGAAGAGACAATTTCAAATCACATTAAATGAAGGCAGTGTACGAAGAGGCGGGAAAGCGTTACAATGACCAAAAAGCGTGTACGCGTTCTGACACGCATTGGGAAGAGGGTTAACCGCCGAATTTTTGACTTCCCAGGCTAGAAGCCAAACACGCCGACTAACTGATGCTAGTGGGATGTTTGGGGGGCAATTGTGAGAGCCGAATTTAACTGGATCAATAGGGATGAATGGACCCGTCCAATCCAAAACATAACCTCTATTCCGCATTGATCCTAGTCAATCGAAGAGCCGAATAAAATAACCGGCACTCCAACCAGTAGAACAAAGACCGAGTAAAAGTACATGTAAAGGATCAAGGATGGGCCTGGTCCTAAGGCCCAAAGAGAACACTATAAGTACGGGATCATTAGTCAGAAAAAGGTATGTGAGAACTAGTAAACTTAACTTAAGATACAAGTAATCAAGAGAGTATACACTGACTTATCCGTCGGAGTGCTAATTTCGGCACCCCCGACCGGAGTGTTCATTCCTTTTCAGGTTGACTAACTGAGGATCACAAGCGTCTCCCAGGACCGAAAGAGTATTTCCAAACCACTTCCCCACAACATCGACACAACTATTTTGAGTTTGAACTTCTTTTTCTTGGCGCATTTCTCCTGCTCTGCTTCCCATGCTGCAAATATGATGAAGTACACGCACACAAGCGTTCTCAACAAAGACTGTTACTCGTAAACAATTCATCCATTTTCCAATCTTACTATAGTTAAAATTAAAAAGTACTTAAAAGGGAGAACATATTTTCAGAACAAAACTTCACAGTTTTAAAGCAGAACCCAAATTTTAATACATAAAGAGAGACGTCATATCAGCTCCAAAAGCCATCCCAGTTTGTTCCAATCTATTTCATTGTTACAAGAAAGAAGAAATAATGGTTATAGCTTTGAAAATTGTAAGTGAAATTTGTAGTCATTGTGCATACCTCTTTTCAGCATATAGAAACATTTCTTTAGCATATTCAATTAGACAGGACGTCAGTAAAACATATGAAAATAATGCTTAAATAAATCAATTCTATTTATTGACCATCAAATCCAAACAATGAATTACAACAAACAAACCACATCAATTCACAAAACAATAACAAATGAACTGTGTTGAGAGCATACACCCTAAAACTTTATAAACCCCCCAGTAAGGAACCATGACGGTGGCCGAATAAGAGAACCACTCCAAGAGACAATCTCACCACCACACTAGGAAGATATTTAGATTAAGGTTCAGCGGCACGTCTGTTCAAAGTTCTCTCCAACCTTGTCTCAAATGGGGTAGAGTGCCAATTAACTCTCTTATCCTGCACACCACTAACACCTTATTAGTACTGACACCTGAGCATTACCCATTGGAGATATAACACGGAGAATTTCACTTCAGAAATACCTCTCTGTACTTGCTGGTTGTGTTTGGTATGCCTTTATAGGAGGAGGCTGAGCCAGAATCCCTGGCTTGCCCCATGTGATTCCAATATGTCCCAACAGTACCTATTATAGGCATATCATCAGGACTTCGACCAGGGGACTTTCTTGGCGAGGATGATGATGCTGAAAACTGTTTAAGCTCCTCCACAGTCAATGCACCTAAAATTGGCCTGTCTTCTATGCTTATCACTGAGTTTGATCCCGGGGACGTGCTTCTCTCAGATGTAATGGTTTCAAGCCCAACGGAGCTGGTTTTCTTGGTTGGAGTCGTTTCAGAGGAGACCAACCAATTCGAAAGGCTAGCATCGACTGCTATTTCTTGGTTTTGATTCTTGGATTGATCCGATTTGGACTTGAAGCTAAATGAAATACGTTGTGCTTCTTGCTCCACTGCAAAATTCTCCTTCTGTGGCTTCAAAGGTGATGTCCCTTTCGATTTCACAGCTTTCCATTGAGTGAGGTTCTCTACTGGGTTGAGCACAGTATGAACATAAACACTTCTATCTCGAGCATTTTGGTTAGATCCAATTTTTTTCACTTCTTGCTCAGGCAAACCACATTTTGTCAGAGGACTATCCACTTCTTCAATAACATCACGAGCTGAAGAAATTTCTGTTCCTGATTCCACTGACACAGTTGGAATCGACTTGGACCAGGTTTCTTGGCCTACAATTACTTTGTCCTCATCCTCATCCTCATCCTCATCATAATCACCATAGTCTTCTAACTCCTCATCCAAATCACTGTCCTCACACTCAAATTCCTCTGCTTCATCATCACTGTCTCTGCAGTTCTGATACCTATGATTCGGAGGGTAAGATCGAACACTTGAAGTGATAGAAGAACCATCTTCAGAGAGAGAGTGGAATAAGGTTGATTTTCCTGAACAATCCTCCTTTTGCTTCTCAACATCTTTGTTGCTCTCCGGTAAAATTTCAGTGCTTTCATGGACTGAAACCGGATCATAGGTCTTGATGTTTGCATCAAAAGTAACTTTCTTTCTGGGGCTCGGGCTCAGTTGCTCCTCAATCTTGTCACTGATATCAAAATTCATAAATTTTCACCAACACTAAGATAAGGAAACCAGACAAAATTGAACTCGAGAAATCCCCCAAAAAAACATTTTGATTACTTACTGTGTTTCTAAAATCAGATTGGTGGGTTCTGCAGAGATTTCCGGTTCTGAAGAGACAACGGGTTGTGGAGGCTTCTGGCTTCCATGTCTCTGCAACTAATTTTAAAAATTAAATCGAGTTTAATAGCAGAAACTGATACGAAAAACACTTTAAAGCTCTGTTTGGCTGCTGAGAAAAGATTAGGTAAAGAGAATTTAAACAAATCAACCAGATTCATTCAACACACAACTTCCCAAATTTGGGAGACCCCAAATCAACCGGTCCTCAAATACAACGCATTGATAAGATGGTATTTAGGAAGAAAGAAAAAAAAAAAAAACACACAAACACAAACACAAACACAAACACAAACACAAACACAAACACACACAGAAACTCAGAAGGATACAAAAATAAAAAAAGAAATTCTTTATCTTTCTGAACAACCAAACAGATGGAAAGGGCAATTGGGAAACCATAAAAGCGATCAAACATAGAAAGAAACAAGGGGCTTACTTGGCCTCGAGGGAGGACCTTGTTCTTGCTTTGATTTCTGCGTTTCCGATCTTTGGAAGACCCAAAACACGCAAGAAAACAACCCATTATTTTAGGTTCTCTGTTCTTGCTCTCTCAGATAAAAGTTCTGTTCTAGGCCGAGGACGATGAAGATTTTTGGCTGATTAAAGAGTCTTCATGCTGAAAGAGAGGGAGAGAGAGAGAGAGAGTGGAAAGCAGTGTTGGATGATGAGAGTGATGATGAGCGATCAAGAAATCATTGAGAAGTTTTGGAGAGGGCTCCCCCCTAGGGTTTTTGATCGTTTGAAAAAGGAAATGTTACCGTTAGAATGTGCGCCAGGCAGGCCCCGCCTATGTTGTGGTTTTCACGTTTTTTTTTTTTTTTTGGGTAAATTACAAATAGATTTGATTAAAATACAAATTATCCTCTATAGTTTTGAAAATTACATTTCAATCCTAAGGTATCTAATTTTATAACAAATCGCTCTTATTAATAAATTATCAAATCAATTAACCGTTTTTAATGAAGGTAGAAATATGTTTCAATTAACAATTTATGTAATTTTATTATTGTATGAAAGAGCAGTTGTGAATTTTATTTTTTTAATTAATTCTGTTAAATAAATTTTTTTAATAAGGAGGTATTTGTAATTTTTCAAACCACAATAAGTAATTTATATTTTAAGCAAATCTCATAGGGTGTATTTGTAATTCATTTATTTTTATTATTATTATAAAAAAAAATCTTAAAACATTACAAATGAATTGGACGGCACAACAGTATCCTATCTTTTCCTTATCTTGTTTTAATATATTTTTAATGATTATAAATTCATAATTTTTATAAATAAGTTTTTTTTATTCATATTTATTAGATATGGGTGGTGTTTTACATTTTAATGTTTGTTTATTATATGAAAAAAAGTTAGTAAGATTAATTAGGGTATGGCTTCTGTATTTGTTCATTAATGTTGCTGTTGAGCCTGTGGGGGCCATCACGGGCCCCGTTTTGATAATCTGAACCGTTGAATGTGTAGAAATCGTCGAGTACTATATGCCTATAAAAAATCAAGTTGATCGGATATCGATAGCTATGTGATCAAAACAATTTTTTGTCAACCGTTAATTTGCTCACTGTCCAATTTTTTTAATATGAAACTGATTTGATCATATAGCTATCGATATCCGATCAACGTGATTTTTTTACAGAAATATAGTACTCGGGGAGTTCTACACATCAAACGGTTCAGATTATCAAAACGGGACCCGTGGTGGGCCCCCACGGGCCCAACAGCATGGTCCAGTCCGATCCCGGACTGAACAGAAGCCATACCCTTAATTATATTTTAACTTTTTTTTTGTTGTTGATAATTTGTTAATTAAGAGTACAATGAGACAAAATAATCGATATGTTGACTTTTTTGGTAAAAATATTTACTTTTCAAACATTTCCTTAAAGACATGGGGAAAGCACCATTAAATCTCTAATTTGAGAATGTTAAACTAGCAAGTCCTTACTTTTTTTTAAGGACTAATAGGTCCTATTTCATTTGTAAAGACGGTACTACCCATGTTTTTAGGCGCGTGCGGTTCAACAAGTAAGGGTAATGTGGGTTGGCGTTGATGTTCAAATTATCGAAAAGCCCAACAAGGTACTGTAGTGTTCTGTGATAGAATTAGGAACGTTGTAGACGGTCGGGTTTGGAATTGGATTCCGATGTTACAGTGATTCGTCACACGTATGTGGCGTGATTGTGTTTTTTGAATTGGTAATGTTAATGTTTATTCTGAAAATAACATTTGTGTACCTTTGTGAACCCAATTGCCCAAAATCATAATTTGATTACAACTCTGTTCCCTAATACGTTGGGTTCATCGTGAGGTTGGTTGGGACCAACGTTTCGAACATTACTCCAACGTTTGGAACATATACGCTGCACCATCGTCGTACACCATTGATGGATAACATGACGCAAAGTATGAACTATTAGGGTTTTTGATGTAAGAAAGGGTTTTTTACCCGTAACTGGTTTGGTGCAAATATGTGTAACGTTATTGTTAATTTGCGATTGTTTGTCTGTGTTTCATTTGTACGTAGTGGCGATGTTGTATTCGTAATGTTTGTTGTTGTGTGTTAATGTAAGTTGGGGTATGTAGCTTATGTTTGCTTGTTAGGCTGATTGTGACCATTATTTCGTTGTTATCGTGTGGTAATGTAGGTTAGTTTATTAGTTTGTGTAATTTGAACATAAGTGTCGTTGTGTTTTTTTTATTCTGTTGTGGTGGGCCTGTTGTTTTGTGGGTTGTTAATGTGAGTGGGGGACCCCTATTTTTCGGGCATTGAATTTAGTTGATGGTTGTTTTTTTTTTGTTTCACCCAACACTTGGTTTGTGTGCGAAAAGGAATGTGTGTAATACAGTATTATTATGGGTGTAATAATGGCCCGGTCCATTCAGGCTTCGTGGGCTCACGTTTTTTTAGTGGGCCAGGTCGGGCCGGCCCATGGGCCAAAAAGTGGGGCTCAGGCCCAAGTCCACACATAATAGGGGCCTTGGGTCGCGAGCCGGGCCTAGTCAGGCTTTTTTTTTTTTTTTTAATATTAGAAAAAAAAAATTTAAAATTATACTAGAGTATTTTAGTTACGATTAATGAGATGTTTTGTTTGGTTATGTAATGTTTCATGGTGATATTTAAATTTAATTATGTATGACTTATGTTTTTTTAATTATGAACTTATAACTAAAAAAGTATGCAATTATGTAATTTTATTTCTTTCGAAATGAATAATTTTATATATATGAAATTGAAACTTTTAATATTACAATATTAAATTATTTATATAACATTTATTGAATAAATAATTTTTATTTCAAAATGAAATAAAATATTACAAAAATTGATATTATTAAATAAATTAGGTGTAGATTACTGATAATGGTATAGCAATTGCATCACTATAGGTCAAGTACATCCCAACTAAGTTGGCACTTACTAGCTTACCAATCATTTGCATTATACTCCATCTCAATAATCTAATACAAAAAAAAACAAAAAAACAAAAAAACAAAACAAAAACCAAGAAAAAAACGAAATGAAATGAAATAATAAAAAATAAATTGGTGATCAATCATCGGAGGAGACAGACATTTCAGTCGCGTTGCCCAATGATATGTCATCCAAATCATATTGAATTCACTTCTTTTCATTAAAATTTTGTCTTCTTGTAAACGCATGCATATAATCTTTGGATATCATCAGTGCCTCAATCATTTCGGGTGAAAGCCTGCTCCTATAGTCACTTAGTACCCGTCCACCTGCACTAAAAGCTGTTTCCGAAGCAACTGTAGAAATAGGAACGGTTAGTATATCACGGGCCATCTGTGAAACCACAGGTCACATAGATTCATTTTGTTTCCATCATTCCAAAATGTCAAAATTATCGGAATCATCCACTGATGGGCTTTCCAAATAACGTTGTAGTTCAGAACTACTTACATATTCTTCTACTTTTTATTGTTGTGAAAATATTTAATCTCCTGCCTCGAGATTGGACTGGTAGTGTAGTGTGTGTAGGTGTATTTACAGATGCAACTGCCATATATTCTTGAAATAATATGTTGCATGTTTGCATAATAAGAGCAAATTGTATTTGCTCAGCGAAAATACGCTCTAAAAATTCTTGTAAACCAACTTCTTACATCTAGGATCAATTATTATGGCCAAACCTAATAGATAAGGCAAAGGATGAAAATATTTATCAAATTTTTCTTTCATTGAAGTAATAATGGTTACATAATATTCATTACTCATATATTTTATGAAAACTTTAATTATTTCTAGTAACATATGTAAACCAAATGGTGAAGTAGGAATATATGTATATAAGAAAATAATTTTGTTGAAATATTGAAAACTTTTAAAAAATATTTATACAATGCTACTTGGCACCAATTAAGTTTAGTGGGTGTCAGTACTCCTCTTATTGATGTTGTTGCAAAAAATAAATCTATTGCTCTTCTTTGTTTACAAGCTATTTTTAACATATTATATGTTGAATTCCACCTACTATCTACATCTAAAATTAATTTTCTAAATGACATATTTTCTCGTTGACAAATTTTTCTATATTCTGAAATTCGATTACCAGAAGACATAATAGTAACAACTGCATTTTTTATTACAAGTACAAAAGTTTCGTATACATGCATTGCTTCTTTAACAATCAAATTTAAAATATGGGCACAATAACGAACATAAAATAAATCACCATCAACAAGTAATTGTAAAGTTGATTTTAAATGGGTTACAGTTTGATTATAATATAATGCATTATCTAAACTAATTGTAAATATTTTATTTTGTAAAGCCTACTCATATAATACATTTCTTATTTCTACACCAAGCGAATGACCAATGTATGGAAGTTCAACTAATTTAAATGAAATAATTCTTTTATTTAATTCTCAATCATTATCAATAAAATGTGTAGTGATACATTGATATTCAAAACGATTATTTGACCACAGATCAGATGTTAAACAAACTCTTCCATTTAAATTTTTAAAGATATCAAATAATTCACTTTTAATATCCTCATATTTCTTTAAAATCCTGTTTCTAGTAGTACTTCTTGAAAAACTTTGATATTTAGTGCAAAACTTTCGTGAATCATTTCGGTAAAATCAGGGCATTCACTAGTACTAAAAGGTTGTTCTTTTTTAATAATATAATTAACTATAGAATTTTGTACACGTATAGGATTATATGAAAATGTTTGCAAATTACCAGTTGATGAAGCTTCTAATTGCATTTGACTTCGAATATCAGGTTGTTTACTTTGTAAATGTTTGTCAGAATGCCTTTTTAAATGACTAGTACCCCCTGCAGATGCAGCACTAAGTAAACGTGCACAATATTTACATTTTGCTTTAAATGTAATTGTGCCGTCAGGATTATTTATAGATATTTTTTCAAAATGTTTCCAAACACTACTATTTCTGCTCCTAGATGATGATCCAACTGTTGGAAGAGGGATATTAGAAGGAGAATCAACAGATTCATGTTGTGCAGTATATCTATCAACATCGACATAAACATTAGGTATATTAGGATCCATAGTAATGCAAGTAAAACAATATATAAGAATTAACAATTAATTTAAATAATGTGTAAATTCAATCAGTAAAAAATAATAATTAATATATTTGCATAAATAATTAATAAAAAAATGAGTAGTTAATAAATTTAATTAAACTAATTAATGCTACCGACTG